ACTGATCACACTCGACTCCACTCAGTAAGACAGGACTAATTCATGGAGACAGTGCTGCCATTGAGACACTGTCCTAGACCTGTTGGATGCTGCGGTCATTTTTTAAAGGCTGAGAGCAAGCCATGATTTTGACTCCTTGCCTTTAGGCCAGGCCGTTGCGCGGCGATTGAAACCATTTGGTGTCCAGAGGTTTCTGTACACAGGACGTCATCCTAGGACTCAGGAAGCAGCAGAATTCCAGGCAGAATTTGGTAAGTAAAACCTTGATTTCCACTGGACCTTCATCTGTGTTCTTTTGGGAGTCTTCCTTAAATGGTGACATTTGCAGGTAGAATGTGGGAGCTCCAGGTGACTGGAATCTGCTGTGCTCCATCAGGTGTTATCTAATCTGCCTACCTCTGGACACAGGTCTGCTTAGGGAGTATAGCATTTTCTCAGTGTGTGGGCAGAGGTGCAGGGATATACTGCCTTGATCCAGGAGGATCCAGGCCCTGTGAGCTGCATGGTGTGATAAAGAGCTGATGGAGGCTGGATCTTGTCATTCCTCCCTGTCAGCACATCCAGCACTGAAGGAGGAAAAAGCAAGAAAGGTCCAAATTATAGATCCTTGAAAAACCTCCCACCCTTCTCTCACCTCTTTTTCTCCATCTGCTAAACCAAGGGTCTGGTAGATGGTGTGGTACACCAGGATCCCACAAGTGGCTGCCAGCTTTGTGCAGTTATTAGAGCTCTACACGTAGAGATCAGGCCTTTAGAAAGCATCTTGGGAGTTTCTGTTATGAGGGGGCATGAGCGCCAGCACCATTTTGTTAGTCTCCACTATCTGGCTGTCTCTTGCTAGGATTTAGCCTCTGATGGAGCCCTGTTCTTCCCCCTCAGTGTCTGCCCCCGAGCTGGCTGCTGAGTCTGACTTTATTGTGGTGGCCTGCTCCTTAACACCTGACACCAAGGGGCTCTGCAACAAGGACTTCTTCCAGAAGATGAAGAAGACAGCTGTGTTTGTCAACATCAGCAGGTAACCTGGGACCCCTGAACATCCCTGAGCAGTCTGTCCCCACCCCTGTGATCCTAGGTTTTCCTCCTTCTGGGTTGTTGCTGAGACCTCAGGCTGAGCTAAGTCTCCATTAACCACCAATAGACCAACAACTCAGAAATACAGGAAAGGCCTTGTGAAGAACTGGTTCCCAGCAGTAGCCCCAGCCTCCCTCGGGGCCTGCCTCACAGTACTGAGGTTCAGGCAGTACAGGCTTGGTGTGCACCAAGTCACCAGGCAGCCTTGGGCAGGCCTGCCATCCACCATGAAGTGTACCATACGAAGTCTCGGGAAAACCTTTTTTTTTGTTTGTTTTTTTTGTGCCAGTCCCCAGGCTTAATCTCAAAGCCTGGGTGCTGACACTTAAGTTTCTTGCTCAACACTAGTGCTCTACCACTTGAGCCACAGCTCCCCCTCCAGCTTTTTTGGTGGTTAAATGGAGATTAGAGTCTTACTGACTTCCCTGTTGAAGCTGGCTTCAAACTTCAAACTTCGAACTGTAATCCTCAGATCTAAGCCTCCTGAGTAGCTAGGATTATAGGCGTGAACCACCAGGAGGTGGCTGAAAATCGCTAGACACTTAAGCTATGTGTTTACTGATCTCTCTGCCCTTGTTAGGCAGGTCCCTGATTGTATGTTGTGATTCTTTATGGAGTGGGAGTGGGGAGTCCAACACAAATGCAACTTGTAGGCTCTGTTCCTGCTGTAGTGCATGTCAGTAAGCTTTATTCCTCCCAGCATTCCTGGGAGGTCGGTGAGAGTTTCCATGAGTTACAGAGGAAACTGAGATCTAAAGAATTTGAGACCCTTGTCAAGGGTCACACAGCCAGCAAGTGGCAGGACTAGAGCTCTTCAGTATAGGACTATCCAGACTTCCTATAGCACACTTCTAAAATGTGCTGCTTTAGAAATGTGAGGTACCAAATGTGAAGTGGGTTGTTGTCTGGAACAAAAAAGCCTGGGTAAAGGGCATCCATATTGCATGATCATTTCCAGGGGAGATGTCGTAAACCAGGATGACCTGTATGAGGCCTTAGCCAGTGGCCAGATTGCAGCTGCTGGACTGGATGTGACGACCCCAGAACCATTGCCCACTAACCACCCTCTGCTGACTCTCAAGAACTGTGGTAAGAGCTGTATGTTCCCAGCGCACATGCCTGCACTGTGGACCAGGGTTGAGTGGTGGTCCTGGGCCGTATGGAGCCAGTTTAAGTGGTGCTAAACACAGACAAACCAGGTCTGTGAATTGTGTAGGCTATTAGTGATCCAAGAGAGACCCTTCTGAGCATGCTTAGTTGGGTCTTTGTTGTCCTACTCTTGTGACTATCATGGAGAAATCTCATTACTATCAATGCCTAGTATCAGTGTGTGAGAAAAGTAGTAATGACACCACCAGTATTTACACTTAGGCCAGTGTTTTCTCGCAGCAATAAAACCTTGTTTTGTGGGTAGGACTGGGGCCTGTGTTCAACCATTTCTTAGCTACCAGGTTTCATCAGTGTGGGGTGCTGGAGGCTAGTCCCTCTTGCCTGCCTGCCTGCCTGCCCACCCATCTGCCAGTCTGGAGTGGCACACAGCTGCACCTCTGTCACTAGCAGCAGCAGTTCCTCCTAAGGTGGCTAAAGAATCCAGTGTGGGTTTTCCAATATTTGGCTCCCCAGCTAGTCACTACCCCACAGAGGTATGAGTTTCAGCTATGGTGGCCCTTTCTTCATTCTTTGCACTGTAACAGTCCCACCCTCTTCCCATGCTCCCCTAGTCCTCAGAGTGTGAGATGCTTCTAGCCATTGCTATCCGTGACACTCATTGTACTAGCTCTCATACTTCCTTTTTGAGTCCTTGAGGGACAGGGCTCCAGGGGTCAACCCCTTGGGTTTCTGCTTTAGCAGACCTGGGCTGGACCTGAGACTGTGCACCCAACTGACTCCCAGGTGACTGGTTTTGTTGGCTCTGGGACCAGTCTCAGCACTTACCTTTCTGCCTCTTCAGTTGTCTGCTTAACAGCTTTCTACATGACTGTGTGTGGGATATGCTCTAAACCATGATTCTCAGGTCTCAGCCTCCTGAGTAGCTATAGGGATGAGCCACCAGCAGCTGGCTTGACTAATAATAATTTACATATTAAGGTTTCTGCCTCTACTCACCATTGGTCAGAGCTGTAGGTTATCCTTTTACATTCTGGCATGGAAAACCAAGCAAGTCCTTTGCTGCCTCCCCAATGAAGGCGTCCATTATTGCAGCCTTGGCAACTCTACAGTCCTATCCAACTCCAGCCTGCCTGGCTGTGATGTTAGGTCCGTTGCCTGCAACTGGGGGAAAAAAAGTCACATCTTCCAAGCTGAGAGTCAGTTTATCATGCAGGTACTGCTTCAAAAGGCAGCTCTTTAGGGACAAGTGACCTCACTAGCTTGACCCCACTGCTCTGCAGGGCGTGCCATCCAGTACTTCATCTTCTGAAGACCTGGGCATCCATCACTTTAGGGGTACAAGGTGTGACAAGTGGTTGGTGCCTAGCTTCTAAGCTGTTTCTAGGTCCCTTGTTCTTTTTGTGTGGATCTCAGTAGCCTGATGTCCCTTTACTGTTACCCTTAGCCCCAGTCCTGGGGGTGGTATGATCGTATGAGGGGAAACAAACAAAGAAGCACTAAGGCAAGTTCCAGTGTCTTCCATACTGGCAAACTCAACATGAGAGAAGAAGCAAGCTTAGGGTCTTGAACTATTCTCTAACCTGCCTCTCTCTCCTTTCTAGTGATCCTGCCCCACATTGGCAGTGCCACCCACCAGACTCGCAACACCATGTCCTTGTTGGCAGCTAACAACTTGCTAGCTGGCCTGAGAGGGGAACCAATGCCCCGTGAATTTAAGCTGTAGCCAAATGGGACTAAGGCCTGAGACCTAGTGCCCTGAGATTCTGCTGGACACTCTAGGCTGGATTTAGAAACCAAGGGGAAGCCTGATCGGTAGTCTGCAAAAGACCAGTGCTGGGAGAAATGCTTGCCACATTTATGGCTGTACATATCTGAGCTCAAAGTCTGTAACTACCATTAAATAATTTTCTGAGATTGTCTCAGCCTTAATCTGTGGGGAGCTACAAAAAGACGATCTGTTTGGTTGACATGTAGTGACCTGCTAGGTTCTGCTGCCCACCTCAGGTGTTTTAGTATTTAGACCATGTCCAGATTCCTGCCTTCATCTCTTCATCAAGGATAGGACAAGCAGAGCCTAGTTAACTGTAACACTTGATCGCAATACCTAGACCATCAGAAAAATTAAAGAGACACATAGCAAAGGAGAACTAGATTAAAGGAGGATTACAGAAGGTCAACACAGTTTTGGTAAGACTAATAATACAAATAGTAAGTTTCCACACCTACACTCTGGCCACTTTTCTCACACAGTTGTCTGCCCCTTCACATAGGTGGCTCTCTCTAATCTCCTCACTCTCCCAAGGCCAGGCCACAGCACTACCATTTGCAAAGCCCTGCTCTGTGCTGAAGGAATCAGCTTCAACTCTTCCTCTAGGTAAGCCAAGGGCAAAGGAGCTTTCTACACAGGAGGCAGCACAGGGCATAGCACCAGGTTGAGTGGCCCCCTCAGAGTTACGTGTGTGTACTGTGAAACCTCACTCATGTCCACAGTTCAGACACGAGAGTAATTGAGGGGAACCGTCTATCACTGTTATTAACAGCATTGTCATGGAGGCTTGGTTTTAAACATACCAGAAAGGGCCCAAAACAAAAAAGTACCAATCATGGGGTTGGAGGCCTGGCTCAGTTGGTAGAGTACCAGCCAATGAGCAAAAGGGCCAGGTACCGAGTTTGAGTTGTAGTGTCAGACTATTCCCCCCCCAAAAAAACTAATCAAAGCAGAGCTAGCAGAGAAAGAACCTTAACCTAAGCAAATGGGGGAAAAACATATTTAGAGGCATGAATATGACAAATTTTTTATTTCAAAATCTCAACTCTTACCAGCATAGCACCACTGACAAAGGTGCCCTGATCGAACTTGATGATGTGATCACCAGAATACATTGTACAAGATTATGCCAGGCTATAATTAAGGCTAATCAATCAAAATTCAGGTCCCAATACCAGTTAGAATCCAGGCAGGATCTCTGGGAGCTGGTTCTCCAGAGAACCTTGGAATTACTTTTTAAGTGCTACAGCATGTCTGAGGACAATGGCCAACAAGCTTGCTTCTCGCACGTAGAAACCGACTGACCAAGAGGTAGATGAGATATTCCAGGTTCCATTCAGCAGTGGAGAGAGGGCTCCAGCATGTGTCAGATGGGCCCCAATGCAAAGTCCACTTGTGCCAAGCAGGTATGAGGGGGCAGGCTCCTCGCCCCAGGCCCAGGCAGGACCTCACTTGTTCTCCATGCTGACCTACCTGACTCCAGAGATTAATCTCACAGGACACTGGTCCCTACATCATGAGGGTAGAATTAGAGCCCCTCACATCACTTGACAATGAACCACACACAACTGAACTTCACAGATGATCCTACATCCTCCACAGTGCTCAAAAGGAGGAATCACAGGTTTCCCTTTGGGGTTTCCTCCTAGGAGTCCACAGGAGATGCCAAGCCCTCTGGGAACACCATAGTTTATCCACAGAGGTATAACTGCACACACTAGACTGAGAAGATACACACTCATTTTTGTTTTAGGGTACATATAGTTGGCTTTCTAAACTTCAGAACTGATCTCTTGAATTCTGCACAATGGTTTGCTGTCTGAGAGCTATGTAAGAAAAAATAAACTCCTGTTCATGCAGGAACTAAACTGACAGAGATGCATGAACCTGTGCCATTCCCATGGCTGCACGGGTGACAGCCTCATGTTGGAGGACAGCAAGGCAAAGATTGGGGAGGTAGGGCAGGAGGGCCTGGTAGAAGCCCTGGTTAGTGTCCAGAATGCTACTCAGGTTTGAAAGCTAATGGGTAACTTCTATGTCATGGGCTCCCTAATGTCTTAAGTCTGGAAAAATATCCATCTATGAATACTACTACCTATGGACTTCACATAATTTCGCAACACTCAGTATTGGGTTGGAAGGGCAACAACAATAAAAATTTAGTGTGTATGCTTTTAAAATATAGTATATAATAAAAACATGGAGGGTGGCATTCTGTTGGGCTACTTTGTAACTGATAACAGTAATCTAGGATTGGGAGAGATGCCACATGGGGCATGGGAGCGCGAAGAAACGAAACAAGACAAGACGGTTTGTCCTCAGCAGAGATGCGTCTGACAGGACTGGTCTTCAACAGCTGGATGGAGCAGAGGGAAAATGTGCCAGGAAAACCCCCACAATACATGACTTCACACCATCAGAACAAAGACAAACACTAGTGCTTTGCTGACATTCAAACAGGAACTGTAACATTGGTAATACAAGTTAAAATACTGCTAAAATAGCACATACAGAAATAAAACCCTACTTGTCACTCCCTACAAGTATATACTCAATTTACAACTTTGTTTTTAAGCCAGAAAAAAAAGTTAAAATATCTATCCAGCAGAGATATTTTCAAAAGTATATACAGCTGTTATTCCAAGAGAATGCTCACCTGGACTCAGTGTCAGCACCATCAAAGGGCAGTGTCTGTGACTGCAACTCAGACAAAAAAATAACAAATAAAAAAAATACAGTACTCTGAGACCTAGGACTGGCTCAGGATACACTTTAAAGCGTCTGTGGCGGACAGGCATGTCCTCGAGGGCCTTCCTTTAAGACTGGCACCACGTTGCCACTGGTTACACATAAGTGCATTTTGCATCATGGTACAGGGTTGTACTAGTCTCACCAGAGGGCATAGGAAATTTAAATGCTTCACAGAGCATTTCAAAAAATTGCCTAAAAATGTTTTTTGCACTTGCATTTTTAAATTTCTAAATATGCCACTTTTAACAACATCAGTTGCAAACTACTGTAGGACTGGATTACTCAGCCCTAAGGAAGACGCCGGTTCCAAGGATTGCACCCCTCTTACAAGTTACACACTGCTGCAGCCCAAGTGTGACATGGAACCACTCTCCACGTGCGCATCATCAAAACTGGCTGCTGAAGCCTCCATGGCATTAACTGCCCACCAAAAGTTCCAGAACTGGCCTAGACATGGTCTTACAAGGAGGAGAGTTAGAGCAAAGTGCTGGGAAGGTTGCTGCTCTGCCAGCGCAGGCAGGTCGTTTTGGAATGTTTATACAGGTGGCTAGACTGACTAAACCTCTTGCCACACTTCAGGCAGGCGTACGGCTTTTCACCTGTGTGAACACGGATGTGCTTCTTGCAATCTGTCAAAGTCAGGAAGGTTTTGCAGCAGATCTTGCAGGCATACTTGCGAGCTCCTTCTACCACCAAGACATTGTGCTCTGATAAGGCCTTCTTGCACTTTGACAAGACATCGGCAGATGCTCTGGTCAACTGTGGAGGTCCAGGCTGGGAAGGATGGCCATTTTCAAATGAGGATGTGGCCCCATTCATCATCAGCTGGGAACTGGCAGAGTTTTCAGGGATCTGTGAGCTCCTGACGGAAGTTACAACGGGCATTTTGGGAGCTATACGGCGGTAGTATGGAAAATTACTGGCTCCTCCTCTTGGGGAACCCATCATTACCCTGGAAAAGGAGGAGTGGAGGCCCAAGCCAGACCTGGAAAAATCCATCCCAAACTGTTCTCCTTGGTAACCTGAAGTCGGCACACATGGCAGGCCCATCACCTCCTGCATGGGTCTGACGAAGTGGGAGTCTGCAGGCTCGCTGAATGGATTCTCCACATGGGAGCCGGGGGCAGAGGAAGGCCCGCCTGGAGGCCCAGCCTCGGGACTCAACAAGTAAGGGGCTTCCCCCTCCAGCCTGCAGTCACTAGTAGTGTTCGGGATGTTATCATCATTGCTCTGACTTGTACTAAAGTTACTCCCTCTGCTCTTGTTCAGAAAATTTGAAATGCTAAAAGTAGACTTATGTTCAAGGTTATTTGTGACTTCCAAAATGTGGATGTCACCCACCCTGTCGGTGCTAGACTGAGGATCTGAAAAACTACGATCGCTGCTCTCGGGGCTGAGGTCTATCTTCTCGGCGCTGACGGCCACGCCTTCCACTTCCACGGACTCGCTGCCTTCGGCCTGGGAGGTGACGTCGCTCACTTCGTCCTGGGGCTCCGGGGAGCTCAGGGGCTCCGACTTCACCACCACTCTCATGTGTTCCTTCTCGCCAAGGCCAACCTCGGGGTTCTCACACGGGAAACCGCTCTTCTCGGCGGCAGCCTCCTGCTCAAAGCTCGTCTCCACCTGCGTTGCGCGAGAGGCCATGGACAGCTGCGCCATGTTGCTGGCAGTGTTGTCCGATTGGCTGGGCACCTGGGCGTCTTCCTGGGCCCCGAAAGACTGGTCAAACAGGATGCCGCCGTCTTCCTGGCTGTCCGTCATTCCGTCAGGCTTAGGATTCTCCACCATCTTCAGCGAATCTGGTGAAAAGAACTCCTCCCGGGAATGCACTCCCCCAGGCCCGGCCTCCGGGGCCACGTCGGACACGGCAGCCTCATCCAGGGCGGGGCGCAGGCGCTGCCGGGCCCGCTCCTCGGCCGACTGCTTGCGCTTATGAAGGCGCCTCATGGGGAAGGGCGTCCGCTGGTCCAGGTTACTGCGCATCGATGAGCTTATCGGGGCTGGGGGCTCCTCCACACCCTGGCTGGAACTGAGGGCCGAGCTCACGATGCTCAGCCCCAGCTGCTGCAGCATGAAGGAGCGCTGCATGCGGGCGCTCTGCTCCTGCACGCGCTCGCTGGGGGGAGACATGGGCAGCGTCCTTGTCGTCAGGTAATGTTTACATGCCTTAACGACGGAGTTCAAGTGCAGGTGAGAGGCTGCCAGTAAGACGTCCATGACATTACTCTCCCCCAGCATGAGCGTGGAGGTGTACATCATGTCAATCAGGGCGGCGAAGGCCTCCGCTGTCACCACCTCGCTATCCAGCTGGATCATGTTCATGGTCTGATCTCCTTCTGCCACTGAGAACAGGGCGCGGAAATGTGTGCTGCATGCTGCCAGCACCGAGCGGTGGGCCTTGAAGTGTCTATTCCCCACCACAATGACACAATCACAGAGCTGGCTATGAAGTCTCTGGTAGTTCAGTTGCTGGAAGATCTGTTCAAAGTGACCTGGAAAATCCATTATCCTATAGGAAAGATGAAGAGTGTTAGGATTTAGAAAAGCTTAAGTCAAAGCCAGAACACCAAGAATGTGAGGAAAACAGAGACATGGGTGGCCAAGCTTAGAACTTTTTTTCTTTTGTCAATTGTGGTGCTTGAACTCACAACCTGGAGGCTGTTCTTAGGGTCTTTTTGCTCAAGGCTATTGCTCTACCACTTTGAGCCAAGGCACCACTTCCGGTTAGTGATTAATTAGAGATAAGAGTCTCCTGGACTTTCCTGCCCAGGCTGGTATTTTTTTTGGGGGGGGGGGTCTGGTCATGGGGCCTGAACTCTGGGCCTGGGCGCTGTCCCTCAGCTCTTCAGCTCAAGGCTAGCGCTCTACCACTTGAGCCACAGCGCCACTTCCGGCTTTTTTTTTCTTTTTTTGCTTATGTGGTGCTGAGGAATCGAACCCAGGGCCTCAGGCATGCAAGGCAAGCGCTCTACCACTGAGCCAACTTCCCAGCCCCTAGGCTGGTATTTTTTTTTTTTTTGGTCTGTCGTGGGGCTTGAATTCTGGGTTTGGACACTAGCCCGGTGCTCTTCAGCTCAAGGCAAGTGCTCTACCACTTGAGGCACAGCACCACTTCAGGTTTTCTAGTGGTTAATTGGTAACAATCCGACATTCATGGACCTCTCTCTTTCAGGCTCATGAACAGGCAGGTTGTTCAGGTGTCAAGAAAAGTGGAATACAGGTGAGATAAAAACAGAAAGCCTGGCTGAAAGTTTGCAATTTGAAAAAAAAAAAAGAAAGGCTAGAGTGGCTCAAATCATAGAACAGTGTCTATCCAGCAAGCACAAGGACTTGAGTTCAAACTCCAATGCCACTAATAAACAGACAGATCATGGACTCAGCAAAGGAAATCACACAGAGACAAAGGAAGTTAATGCTTATCTGGGGCAAGAAATGAATATAAATGGACAGAGGTTTTGGGGGGTAAGGAAAAGTAACAAACAATCTAGAGTTTCGCTGCAGTCATAATTATACATACTTTATTAGAAAATAAATGACAGAGAAAGAGCATGTAGCATAGGCCTCTCCCAGGAAGACAGCACTTAAGTCCTTTATTATATTATATTCACATCTTGTCTGAATTCTTCTCTTACCAAATACAAGAACCCAAGGTCAACTTAGCTGGCCTAAATTTCTGGTAAAACATACATTATACTTCAAGTAAAACCAGTAGATTGTTCCTTAATAAATAATAATGGAAAATGGAAAAGAGAATGAACAAGCTTGGTCCAAAGCCATGTTTTCAGGATCCACTTTGAGCTTTAGGGCTTCTACAAAATTAAACTGATGACTTACATATGAATAAGTATTAGCCATGAGCACTGGGGAAAAGCAAAAGCAACGTGTAATGTAATTGAACTTCTCAACTCACAGGTATTGCAGCCCTGTAGACTGGACCTAGAGAGCAGAATTGCCAACAGGCAATCTCAATAAATCCTCAAAATCCAAAGGCCCATGCCATGGTTCTCACTAGAGAACCGCTTTTAGACTACTGAAAGTGTGCTTGTCACAGGGCATACAGCTAAGAAAGAATAAATTTAAGAGGCAACTTAAAAGATACTTTTGCTGAACCCTGTGAATTAACTAAAAGTCTGTGCTCTTTGATCTGAATTGTTTAATATTGCTGCTACTTTGCAATCACTCTGGGCTCCAAGAAAGAGAAAATACATTGATAAACATCTTTTTTTTCTGATAAGCATCTTCTGTGGAAGGCAAACTGTGCTTCAACTAGGCAATGCCTTCTTCTTATCATTTCAAAAGAAAACACCTGATGGCTGGGAATGTGGCTTAGTGGTAGAGTGCTTGTCTAGTAGGCACGAAGCCCTGGGATCGATTCCTCAGTACCACATAAACAGAAAAATCCAGAAGTGGTGTTGTGGCTCAAGTGATAGAGTGCTAGCCTTGAGCAAAAAAGCTCAGGACAGTGTCCAGTCCCTGAGTTCAAAACCCCAGGACTTGGCAAAAAACAAAACAAGAAAACAGCTGAAAAACTCAGATCACCTGCCAGCCAACTTGTTCTTGTACCATTCCAATGATGAAATGATAACTTTCTAGGGCTTAAGACTAAGCTAATGGTCAACCAGGCCACACCTGAGACTTGGGACTTTAACTCTGCATATCCTTCCCATCCCCTGCCTTGATTCTCTCTACTTAACTTGAAGTCATAGTCTGTATCCCTGAAGATGGCTAAAGATGCGCTAAAATGCTGTCTTCTCATGGTTGCCATATAACAAATCTCCTTTCTCCACCCATCACAATGTTTCTTTATTTGGCATATGAGAGCCTGTGGCTGATCCTATTTGGGACTCCTGGACTTGGCACTTGGGATCTAAAAACTCAGTATCACAAAGACAGCAGATAACAGATGCTATTTGATGTCTTTAACTCCCATTTCCTGGCCAGGGAAGCAGGAAAATTTTCTTGTTCTCATATCTCTCTATTTTAACTTTTTAAACTAAAATAAATCCTTGCTAAAACTTTCACATTGTGAGACTCTCCTTTTTGTGAGACACCCTGAAATGCTTTTCATGATTGGATTTCAAGGACTTGTGATTTTTTTGTGTGGAAATCTGAAAGCAGAGGGAAGCTCTCATCCATTCTTCAGTGACATAACCACTTGCTCTGGTGCCCTGCTCGGATGGAATAAGCCATCACTGTTCAGGATCCTGGGAAATAACTGAAATGGCAAACTCTAGATTCAAATAAAAAAAATACATAACTCTGCCAACTGAGAGTATGTGCCATTTAGCTAGACCAGGAGAGTAACTACTGGGACGGAATCAAAATGTAAATGGTAGTTTCCCTCCTTTCATTCCCACTCTCCTAAACACCACTTAATATATACTCTTCTAGAGATGACAAGAATATGGAGTATGTGCATGACTGTTCTTCCTATAATGACCATCTACCAAAGAGGTAAAACCTCCCGATTTTTCTATTGTAATGATAAAGAAACTGCAGTTATTCTTTTACATGCCTTATGTATCTGTAGCAAAATTCTACAAGGCAAAAATATGTAAATGTTTTATATTTTGACCATGTTACAAAATTGCCTTCAGTAGAGGGCACAGCAGTCCTACTTAATATTTGTGGCTGCATACTTGCTTCTTTTCAGCCTCCTAAGTAGCTAGGATTACTGTGCCTGAGTCATCAGTCCTCCAGCTATTTTAAACTTTTTGGTATTTGTAATTCAGATAAATAAAATGCCTTACCCATTTTTGTGTGTGCCAGTCCTGGGGCTTGAACTCAGAGCCTAGGCACTGTCCCTGAACAGGCTAGCGCTCTGCTACTAGAGCCACAGCTCCACTTCCAGCTTCTTGTAATTTATTGGAGATAGAGTCTCATGGACTTTCCTGTCCAGGCTGGCTTCACACCATAATCCTCAAACCTCAGCCTCCAAGTAGCTAGGATTACAGGCATGAGCCCAACTCACCCTTTCTTAAGCCATGCAGTAAAAATCAAACTGTCGGGCCCTAGTTAGGACTGGATAGATCGTGCCATTGATCACCATAACTGTTTCAGAAATGAGTTATCTGACACAAGAAAGTCCAATCAAAGTTTGCCCTGGGGACTTAAAGAGGTATTGTTTTCACTCAAAATACAAACTTGCTAAAACAATATCTATTTTAGTATCTAATATTTTTTTATTTAAAATTTAAGAAGTCTAAATAGCCTCCTTGGTCTTAGCCACCAACATGCCTTACTACTGAACTCCTTTTTGCACAGAGCCATCCAGATTAAGGAAGACTCAGAAATTTCAGGGCCACCTGAGCCATGGCCACAGCACTCAGGAGGATGCAGTAATGCTGGTGGTATGGATTGACTTTGACAAATGTCACCCAGGTTTTACTTTGGGAAACTTGGTATGAGGCATTACTTCTTAAAAGGAACAAGAGCTTTTACCCAGCTGTCAACCTTGATAAACTGTGGACATTGGTCAGTAAGCAGACACAGGTAAATGCTGCTAAAAACAACTGGTATTGCTTCCATTGTTGATGTGGTTCCATAGGACTACTACAGAGTTCTGGGGAAGGGAAAGCTCCCTATGCAGCCTGGCATCATGAAAGCCAAATTCTTCAGTGGAAGAGCTGAGGCGGAAAGTAAGGGTATTGGGGGTGCCTGTATCCTGGTGGCCTGAAGCCATATAGAAGGAGGTTCATTAAATGTGTAGGTTATAAAGTAACATCTCCATATTCCTGTTTGTGTATTGGGATCCTGCCCAACAAATCCTAGAAATGAGGGGTGTGGCCCCTCCTGATGCATGTTGACAATTAAAATACATTTTAAAATGCCTAAAATAAAGCCTAAATATACTTCTTCTCTATTAGTAGATGCTACCTGCTACCCATCACAATTGCCTCTCCTAAAACCTTTTCAGCAATTAAAAAATTTCCATGGTTGAGAAGCCGGGCGCTGGTGGCTCACGCCTGTAATCCTAGCTACTCAGGAGGCTGAGATCTGAGGATCTCGGTTCAAAGCCAGCCCGGGCAGGAGAGACCGTGAGACTCCTATCTCCAGAAAACCGGAAGTGGCGCTGTAGCTCAAGTGGTAGAGTGCTCGCCTTGAGCTGAAGAGCTGAGGGACAGCGCCCAGGAGAGTTCAAGCCCCACGACCAAAAAAAAAAAAAAAAAAAAAAATGTTCCATAAAAAATTTCCATGGTCTTTATCATAGATGAAGCCTTATTTCGTGTGTGTGTGTGTGTGTGTGTGTGTATGCACACTCTCATGCACTGGTCCTGGGGCTTGAACTCAGGGCCTAGGCACTATCCCTGAGCTTTTGTACGCAAAGCTAGCACTTTACCACTTGAGCCACAGCACCACTTCCAGTTTTCTAGTGGTTTATTGGAGATAAGAGTCTCATGGAGTTTCCTGCCAGGGCTGGCTTTGAACCATGATCCTCAGATCTCAGCCTCCTGAGTAGCTAGGATTACAGGCATGAGCCACCGGTGCCCGGGTAGCTTCCAACTTTTAAGTGGTTAATTGGAGGTAAGAGTCTCATGGATTTTTCCTGCGTGGGCTGGCCTTGAACTGTGAGACTGAGATCTCAGCCTCTTTAGTTTTTTTCTTAATGAAAAAAACCTATACATTTATTAAGATGTCATGCCAAAGCATTGGAAGTATTGCTATTGATGGTACCAAAAACCCAATTATCTGACTCTACTTTGTCTCTTATTTTTTCTTTTTTTATATTTGGACTACACTTTATTCCAACAGTTCTCCAATTAGACTTGTAGAAAGTGTATAATTTCTTAAAATAATAAAGCAGATATTTTTCTAGATTCATCTCTCCAATTTGGTGAATATTTTTTACCTATCTATGCAATAAGTTTTGATATTTCTTACTGCCTCGAATAGGGCTTTGAGAACAATAATCATGATCATTTAAAAACAGATTGTTTTAAAGGCACTCAAGTTTGAACTTGGAGCTTTGAGCTCACCTTGTGCTGTAGTAGTTGAGCCATGACTCCAGTCCTATTTTTTGCTGTTTTTTTTTTTTTCTTTCTTGAGATCGAATCTCAAGGACTTTTCTGCCTATGTGGCTTTGAATTGCAATCCTTTGGATCTCAGCTTCCTGAGTAGTTAAGGTTACAGATGTGGGCCATTGCTCTTACTTTTTCTTTTTCTTTCTTTCTTTCTTTCCTTTTTCTCCCCTTTCTTTCTTTTCTTTCTCTCTCTCTTTCTTTCTTCTTTAACCTTTCCTGAGTCATTCTCTTCTATGATTAACCTGGACTCCAGAAACAGGACTAATCAGTAGACCTCTTTGCAACAAGGGACTAAAATTAACCCTGAGCAACAGCAATCCTAGAAGAATACATCATCCCAAATGTAACTGTCCTATGATGGAAGGGAACTGAAGCTGCATCCTGGGTCAGGGATAGTCTCCAGTGATGACAGGGATAACAGCTTTTCAGAGCCATCTCACAGAGCCAGAACTGAAACAACAATCTACCAGATCACTGTTCTGACAAGATTACCTGCTGTCACTATTCAAACTCCCAACATCTGCCTTTGTTTCCCTTTCTTATAAAAATCTCAAAGATCCCATCAGCTTTTTTTTTTTTTTTCCTTTGGTTGGTCGTGGGCTTGGTTGGCCTGGGTGCTATCCCTGAGCTCTTCAGCTCAAAGTGAACACTCTACCACCTGAGCTACAGTAGCACCACTTCCAGTTTTCTGGTGGTTAATTGGAGATAAAAGTCTTTCGTGGACTTGCCTGCCGGGACTGGCTTTGAATGGCAATCCTCAGATCTCAGCCTCTGAGTAGCTAGGATTACAGGCGTGAGCCCCTGGCACCCAGCTCCATCAGCTTCTTGACAGGCCTGGGGTTACTGAATCTCTGTCTAACTCTTCCCATTTGTGTAATGATGAAGCTCCTTTCTCTGCCCTTCATCATTGCTCATTTTTTTGAGTAGTGTTTTGCAATACTTCAATTGGAGCCTTGGAGCCAGGGCTTTAGCCTTACACTTTGGTAATAGGGCCTTGCCTGTAAAGAAGATTTAAAAAAAGAAAGAAAGAAAGGATTGTTTCAACTCGAGGCCTCCATTCTCACCTGACTGTTGTGCTCATAGCTGGGGCTCTACAACTTGCAGTCACTTCTCCAATTCCTATTCTATCACTTCTGAATCATTTATCAAATCTATAATGGTCAGTAGGAGCCTGATACTTGACCTGATGAATTCTCTTCGCTAATCTATTCAAAATAAAATATAATGTATTATTACTAGATGTGTTTAGATTTTTGAAGCATTTCTGGGTTCCTGTTACAGCAAAACCCCCAAACAGTGGCTTCCTTTCCCAGACCTCTGTCCTAACTTCTCGTTGTAGTAGAGATTAAAAGAGAAAGACTATAAAGGTGAAAGGCTTGCATTTTTAGAGGAAAATGACTGAATATAATTTAAATTATAACTAAGATATACTGTAAAATAAATTCCACCATGTTGACAATATTTTACCCAGGAAGAAAAGGCAATAATTCATTCTAACCACTTTAAAATAAAATAAAGCATCTGTAAACCTTTGTTATCAAGTATAAAAAGTAACAGATTATCCAAGTACAGTTCCAAAAAAGCATATTTACCAGCACCCTTTTAAGTTTATAAAACAAACATTTGGAATTTCCATTTATATAAACAAGTAACTTTCTAGGAGCTCTTTTCAATAGCAAACTTTCTCAAGAGCACAAAGGCAAATTTGGAAAGTACACTGATATATTAAATTTATTGAGTGCAAATATCTTTTAGTTATATTACATTTCATTACATTTAAAATGCCAGTGATTATAAACTTCATTGCTAGGAAAGCCATTTTTTTTTTTATTCTTTTTTGGTCTGTGATAGAGGTGGCTATGTTGCCCAGGTTGGTCTCAGACTAGTGGTGGGATTTCAGGAATCCCAGCTAAATTGTCAGGACAATGCTTACTTACACCACTTTGTCTTCAAGAAAAAGAAAATGTGAACAAAGGGTTGGGAAGGTGGTTCAGTGGTAGAGCACTTGCCTTGCATGCCTGAAGCCCTGGGTTCGATTCCTCAGCACCACATAAGCAAAAAGAAAAAAGCAGGAAGTGGTGCTGTGGCTCAAGTGGTAGAGCGCTAGCCTTGAGCTGAAAAGCTGAGGGACAGTGCCCAGGCCCAGAGTTCAGGCCCCACAACCGGATCCAAAAAAAAAAAAAAAGAAAATGTGAACAAAATGTGTTTTAGTATTTAGAAAATACATGAGCCATCAATTCAATTATGTTAGAAGATGAAAAGAATAATTATCTACAGGTAAAATAACCTCAACTACTAAGAATCTATTCTTATTTACTATACTATAATAAAGTTGATAGTCCAACACATATTTTAGCGAATACACGTAGAAATAATGAGAGATACTCTGAAAATGATTCTGAGATTAAAAGCCACTGCTCAGTGATGAAAATGATGAAAATAACTATAAAGAGCAAGAGGTCAGTCAACAGCTGGTCAGTTAGCATGTGAGAAGTTCACTTCCTACTTAGACAAAAGGTGTAGTGTAGTGTTACAATCCTTCCCACCTGCTACTGTAGGGAAAATAGCCTCTACTAGACAACATTCATGAGAATCATTAAGTACAAAATTATTTTAAAAATCATATACTCAAAACAAAGGGTAAAAGTATTTACAACTTATATTTTTAAAAGCAGTTGAAAGCTAACATGGAATCAATAAATTGGGCTCTTTTCCCCCTTCCCAAGAAGAATGTGAAGCAGACTCAAGATTCTACGTCAGGACTACAGCAAGTTTTATCATTTGCAAGAACACAAAATGTTTTTGTAGTCTCTAACAGAATAAAACATGTACATACATTTTGCTGGGAGTCATTTTTAAAAATCTTTCCACATAAGATCGGAGAGAGAGAAGACAATGGCGTTTTAATATATTTTTTGTGACTTCCAAAAAAAAAATCTTTCCACAAGGAAGAGTCTAAATTTAGGAAAACATCCCTGCCTTACATGCTTTCATCTTAATTTCATCCCATGTGTAGAATTTTGCTTGAGATATTTCAATTAATCAAATCCAGTCTTCCAACACCCCAGCTAACTGAAAGTTACATTTTAGGATGTTGCTGCTGTTGTTGTTGTTGTTTAGAGGTACAAGAGTTTGAATTTTGGGCCTTGCCCTTACTCAGCTGGTGAGCTACCACTTGAGCCAAACCTCCAGCTGGAAGTTGCATTTTGCAACAACTTTTAGAGGAAAAAAAAAAAATCTCAAAAGCAAAGCAAAAAAAATGTCTTCAGAACTCTTCAAAAAGTCCTGGTCTATTTATTTAATGCAAAACTTAAAGGGCCATAATAAGTCCTTAGCTAGTTAAGCTTACCTGGCAGGGTCACTAAGCTGGCTGCAGTGACCAAGTCAGTCTTCCCAAGTTGTTGAAATGTCCAGAAGAGTTAAAGCAAATAGTGGAAGGCCTTCCTTTGGCTTAAGGGCTTTTTTCTCTGAAATTCTTTCTCCTCTATTCATCTGGTCTCTTCCCTCCCCACTCTTTTAGCTACTGCCAAACAGCTTCGTCAAGAATCACAAGACTTTAGCAAAGGAAAAGCAAATTCTCCAGAAAAAGTAAGATATCTAGCCCACTTTTTCAAATGACCCAAGGCCCAACCGTCCCATAAAGGTATTTTCTTCAATCTCCAAAAAATTCAAATAGATATGACATCTTCTACTTAGTCCAACTTTTTTTTAAAAAATGGATGTAGTTTGGATTTTTTTGTTGTTGTTTCAGTTGTTGAAGGTGAAGAGTTTTCTTCTATTAACTGGATCTAGAGCACAATACTTAGTAATCAAGATTTTAATGTTTTTCCCCAAAAATGTTTTCCTTCAAGTTAGGTATTTTTTATTTTGTCTTCTAGTTAGGAATTTGCTTCTACAGTATTCTTCACTATGCCAAAATGCAGACTGGCATTTTAGGGAAGGGAAAGGAAACAAAAAGAAAACCCTAATCTTCAACCCCCCTTACACTGCCTAACACAGATGGTTCGATACAAATCCGTCCTCCAGAGGAAGATGACAAAATGACCGACTCTTACCACCGCACCTCCTACAGCTTCTCAACCCGAAGCCCGAAAGTAGGAGGCATTCAAAAACGCCTATTCAACACTTTAGTCTTTCCTAACAAGTTGAGACATTCCGAAACTGACTCCACCCCTCCGGAGCCCCCGCCGGCTCCCGCATCCACACTGTCTGGGGCCTGGATCGGATGAAAGGAGATCCAGTCGCTCGAGAAGACCCAGGATGGGGGCAAGATGAGCCACCCGCCTCCATCCCGCAGGGCAACAGACCTTCTATTCATCCCGCAAGGCTGTAGGTCCAGAGGCCTTTGCTACCCCATCCCGGGAAGCTCCCTTCCCAGCTACAGATCCGCGGGGACACGAGCCCCCGCCCCACCCCGCAGACAGACAGCCTGGCGTCGGGACACGGGGGACGCCTGCGCAGAAGAGCCCGTCTCCTATCCGCCTGGCCCTCCGATCGGAAAGGTAACAATACCCTCTCCGAAAGACAGGAAGGGTAGGCGAGGGACATCAGTACGTGCCTGCGCGCCCTCAGACGCTTGGGCGCGCCCCCGGGGCTCAACCGATTCCGCGTGAGCGCGCCGCGCGCGCACGCGCGCACCTCCAGGGCTGGAGCTGACAGGGTCGCCTCACCTGAGTTGGGCTCCGCCCCCTTTCTCCTCACTGGAGGAGGCGGTGACCCTTCTCCGAGCGGACCTGACACTGTCGGAGGAGGCGGGAACGTCCAGACTGGCGTCTCGGTGAATGGGGCGTCCTCTCCCTTCCGCCCGCCTTCCTCCCGCCCACCCCTCCTTTAGTCACCGGCTCCTTCAGCCGGTTCGTCGAGGTTCTCTGTGAACGCGGCGACGGCGACCGGCAGTAAGCGGAAGTGACGCGATACGAGATCACCTAAACCCGCTTCATTCCTCCGCCTCTCAGGATTTTCACCAATCAGCAAAGGGGAGGGCGGGGCCTGAGCTGAATTGTGGCCAGCTGCGTACCGAACCTGAGGAATTTACTCGGCCCCCTAAAAAACTGACCAATCCACGGTCCCAGGAGCCTGGTTGTGTTTACTACCGACCCAATCCCTGAGCGCTCTGGCCAATCAGCGCTTGCCTTGCAATAGGTAACCTTGTTATCAAATTCCTTTTAAGGCGGGATTTATCATTAACTCAGAAAAGCAACTGCGGGCCACAGCCAATCAAAACCTAGTGTAGTTGAAGCCAGCGAGTTTTCCGCCTGGTTGAGTCAATCACCATCTGTACTGACCGGGCGGGCTGGTCCGGCCATTGGCTAGTACTGAAGTATTTCCCTACTGTCACGGCTTGGGCTCTTGGAATTGAGTTACCATCACCGAGTCCTTGCACTCTCCGTGTCGGAGGTTGCTTTCAACTTTTAAACATTGGAAGAGATAAAATGAAATTCCAAGACACTGCTTTTGTTGAACTTAAGTCGAAATCCAGGCTTAAAATGCAGAATCAAAACGACACAATGAGGTGGGACTCCGCCCATGTCCAGTCGGAGTGGCGTGTGGCTATAATAGAAACGCCGACCACGCTGGCATCCTGGCCGGGCAGGTCTCGAACCCCAAGTACGACTGGGCCCTGTCGTCTTTGCCGTGGGTCCTGTAAGCTTATAGTCTACAGAGCCAAGCTTACGATCACCGGCCATCCAAGGAAAAGCAAAGTTGACTGCAAAAAGCATCGCAGCCGGGACACGGAGGAGCTGGGGTCCTACTTCTGTGGGATCAGGACGGACAAGAGAAGGTCCAGAGCTGCACCCAGTGTTTGAGAGGATGAAGAGCCTGAGCCTTGATAAAGGCCCGCTGGCACTGGTTAGGAAGAATCTCACCTTCCTCCGAAGAAGGGGCTGGAAAGCCCAGAAAATGGGGCCCTTCTGCGGGAGCAGTCCCAAAGCTAGGCTGGAAGACAAAGAAAAGCAGGCTCGCAAAGCGCGACCCGGCCCTTGGTTGGGTGCACCGGGAGGTGATCAGGGGTGTGCCTCCAAAACTTAACATGCAATATCATTTTCGCTCATTCTCTCCCGTCCAGCTGGAAATGTCCTCTTTGTGTTTATTCTCTTGGTGTCTCAATGAAGTCCGATGGTCAGTTCAGTTCTTTAACATTCCCTGACAATTTACAGCCTTTATGCATATATTTTACAGCAGAGATTGGGTAATGAAATAAACATTATAGAATGCTGGTCATCAAGTAGGCACTATGAGATATTCTGTTGCACATGTGATCCTTATAATAATTCTGTGACCTAAATATTGTCATTTACAAACTGCTGGTGTACTTTTTAAAAATAATGTAGTAGTTTGTCAAATTTTAAAATATGTAGGGGTGAGGAGAATGAGGCATGATTCCCAAGCTAACCTCATACAAAAGAAAATCAATACAACATATCCTTATTAAGAAAGCTGCCGGGGCACCAGTGGTTTACACCTGTAATCCTAGCTACTAAGGAGGCTGAGATCTGAGGATCACAGTTCAAAGCCAGCCCTGGGAAGAATGTCTATGAGACTCATATCTCCAATAAACCACCAGAAAATTGGAAATGGTGCTCAAGTGGTAGAGTGCTAGCCTTGAGCTGAAAAGCTGAGGGACAGTGCCCAGGCCCAGAGTTCAAGCCCCAAGATGGAAAAAAAAGAAAAAGGAAAAGAAAGCTTATTAGGATATCATATTATCAAGGGTTTAGAGATAAAATAACCACACTCATTGCTAGTGGAAATAGAAATTGGTAGTCTATAGAAGGCAAATTGGGAATAGCTAATCAATGGAATCTGTTTGGCCCCATCAATGTGGTTTGAAGATTATTTAAAGCTGAAAACATCTCAATGTACTGCAGCCACAGAGGGAAAAAAATCGTATAAAAACTTCTCTTGCTGATAGAATGGAAGAATCTGTAAAATATAGTCGCCTTAAATCCCCTCACTGGTTTACAGCCAGAGAGAATTTTCTATACCTTCAGACTGAGCAAAGTGGCTTAGGTCTTAGTCCCAGATACTCGGGAAGGTGATATGGAGGATAGTCGGGGCTACATGGGAAGACTCTATCTCAAAACAAAAGGTTTTTTTCTTTTTTCCCTCAACTCAACCTCCTAATAATATCATCACATTGGAAGATAGGACTTCAACATATATAATCCCTATTCAACATCAAAATCCCTATTTTGATCAAGATTGTAATGGGATTCTTTCTCTTCTAATAATGACATGGGACACTAGATCTCCTTCTGTATAAATAGTGAGAGAAAGTGGTCATCTTCAATTCAAGGAGAGACATGGTCTTCATCTTGGATTTCCTAGCCTCCAAAACTATGAGAAGTAAATGTTAAACTTACCTACTCTATGGGTTTGTTTTATAGCAGACCCCTTGAAGCTAATACCATATATGCCACTCCCTCTTCTAAGACAACCACTAAGACAACAAAGATGTATATCTTATAATTCAATAGTGATATAAAATGTCACATTAATAATCCAATGAATCCAAAGGAATGCAAGGGGAAAAGGAGTAACAATTACAACAAAAAATAATAGAACAAATTCAAAATAGTAACTAGATGATAGATATAAACTCAACCTTGCAGATAACTGCATTAAATGTAAACGTGGAAAACACCAGTGGTTCACACCTGTAATACTAGCGACTCAAGAGGCTGAGATCTGAGAATGTAAGTCAACCCATCTTTAGTAGAAAAGTCTGAGCTTCTACCTCCAATTAACCAACAAAATGCCAGACAGAAGACATGGATAAAATGGTAGAGTACCGGCTATGAGCAAGAAAGCCAAGTGAGAGCTTACGGTCAGGTTTAAACTTAAAAAAAAAAAGCAAGCAAAGGCAAATAATAAAACATGAGAAAATGTGTACCATATAAATATCAACAACAAAAAGTGCATTAATAATGGATAAAACGGGCTTCAAGACAAGTTATATATCACAAGCAGTGAAGAAGGATTGGGGGGAGGTGTGGTTCAGTTGGGAAATTGCTGGCATAGCAAAAGCAAACCCTTGAGTTCAAACCTCAATACTGAAAAACAAAAAAAGAAGTCAAGGCAGACATTTTTAATGATCAAAAGTTTAATTCATCAAGAAGAAATAATGTGCCTAAATGAAAACCATACCCTTAGGAACAAAGATTCTAAACACAGAAAGCTACTGGAAATGACAAAAGGAAAAAGACAAATCCTAGGAACTTCACATTGTCTACCTATCCTCGAGTATATTTTCATCTTCATTTTTTTGTATTTCTTGAAAATTTCTGAGAGCAAGGATTTTGGTTGTTTTTTTGTAAGTTTTTTTTTTATGGTGCTAGGTCTCAAACCCAGAGCCTCATATATGGTAGGAAAGTGATCTAACACTGAGCTATGACCCCAGCTGAGAATTGTATATTTTTATCTTACCTTATATCTTATCTTCTTGTGCCTTGCACAAGATTAAAAGATAGAATGAGAACTTAAAAAGTTGAAACAAGCTTGGCACCAGTGCCCATGCCTGTAATTCCAGCTGAGTTTTGAGGATCC